ATCCCATCCCATCCCATCCCATCCCATCCCATCCCATCCCATCCCATCCCATCCCATCCCACCCAGATGGAAGAATGAGTCCTCTCCCTCCCCATCAGCAGCAAGGTACTCCCCTTCCCCACCCCATCCTGTCCCAGGCCAATCCCATCCCTTCCCAACCTGATTTTTATCCCATCCCACCCTGTCCCATCCCACCCAGGTAGCAGCCCTGGTCCCTTGGGCTGTTCCACCTTCATCCTCGTGTCCTCCTCTGTCAGGTTGAAGTGTTTGAGCTCAAAGTCTCCCTCGGCGTCGGCGTAGGTGTACAGGCGGACGGAGAAGTCGGTGCTGGCCATGGGCACACGCACGAGGTTGTACTCGATGCCTGGGGAGGGGGTGGGTGGTGATGGGCACTGCCAGGGTGTTTTTGGGGGGGCGCAGCAACCCCCCCCAGCCCCGTCACCCAGCAGTGCCACCCTGCCCCGGGCTCACCTTCCTCGGAGAAGTAGGAGCGCAGCAGGTGGTTCTGGGCAGCCTTGGACAGGGACTGGATGTTGATGGCGGCCGCGTCAGTGATGGAGCCCCCAAACCCCTTCACCTTCTGGTACCGCTGCGCCGTGTCCAGGGTGAGGTGGAAATCTGTGGGGGGGACACACAGTGTCGCTGTCACTGTGCAGGACAGGCTCTGTCCCCGGGTGGGCGGCAGGTCCTGGCCATGGCCGTACCTGGGGTCTTGGCGTTGTGCTGGAACCTCCCCTCGCTCCTCTCCAGCCTCTTGCCGGCCTTGCTGCTCTCGTACCTGACGTAGGAGCCCGGGGGCGGCAGGACCAGGGGGTCCAGCGTGTCGCAGTAGGTGGCACTGCAGGCGCAGACCAGCGAGCCGTGCCCGAAGTCCTTGGCGTCGCAGGGACGGCCGCCTGTGGCACGGGAGAGACCGGGCAGGCACCCAGGGCTGCGGCAAGAGCCCAGCTCGCCCCTCTGACCCGCCACAGACCCCAAACCCACCACCCTGCACAGCCCAGGGACACGTACCTGCGGCCTGCAGGGCTGCCTGTGCCAGCAGGAGCCAGCCCAGGACGCTGGCACAGCCTGGCCCCATGGCACCTCTGCTGCAGCGGCTCGGGCGACGCTGATGAACAAACCGGGGCTGGGAGCAGGGCGAGGTGTCAGCACCCAG